GTTTACTTTAAAAAATTTTTTTTATATTGTGTGACTCAGGGTTTTATGAGCCAATAAAATCGAATGTCCGCTATGCTAGTTATAGCTAACAAATACCCATTAATATAACATTTTTATACCTTAAATTGAATTATGAAATAAAAAAAAATTTTATTAAATTGTCAATTTCATCTTTTTTCTTAGCACTAAACCCCATATACTGTATTTAATATACCAGTAATTAAAAAATAATATGAAAAAAAAAATGCTATATTTTACTTTTTGAATAAAAGGTATATTTAGAAATTATGCAGGTTTATTTAATAACTAAAATAATATAAACCATAATACTTTAGTATAACTTGACATAAAAATACAATTCAGGTAAAAAGAATTTCAGATGTACCTAAGATTTAGATCCAGTTTTAGGTCTCCCACGATTACTATTAGGCTTTGCTTTCTTGGCTGAAGTATCTTTTTTATCTTCAATCTAATAATAATAATAATAATAATAACAATAATATTATTAACTTAAAGATCAGTCATGTAGATAATCGCCTTAAATAGATATAATTCCAACGGACCTTACGCTTTGCAGGAACCTTTGCGTTAGAAGGAACCTGCGTAAAGAAACTATCCAATCTCCCTTGAGTTGCAGCTTTTAAATTTTTTGATAATTTTTCTATGCCTTTTCGCACACGATCCTCACTTAAATATTAGTTCAAATTTTAGTTTAATATTTTCGTTAATGTTTTGCAAATATTAAATTTACCTGAAGCTTTTTTCACGAACTAAAAAGTTCAAAATGCCATCAACATCAGGATCTTTCCATTTTATCTAGCAATGCAAAATATATAAAACTTTATGTAGCAAGAACTTTATAGATTGCGAATAAATGAATAAATGATTACCTCAACATCATTAGGATCTAGAACCTCCGGATTACGAAATAATTCACGTGCTTCATCATAATGCCAATCTTCTGGTATTGGATATTTTTTGGTATCAATGTTATTAATAACTCCTTCTAAGTTCTTATACTTTTTAACAAGTTCTACTGCACGATGCGGCCCAATGCCTTTAATAGATTCACAATAATCACAGCCCAGAAGAATACAAAGATCGATAAACTGAAAAAGCAAAGAATTGGTAATTAGATAATTAGCCCGAGTTAAAGTAGTATACGTTTTTGAACAATTCTATATATACTTGATCCATGGTAAATTGGAGTCCTTCTAAAACTTTATCGAGGTGCATTTCACTAATCGGCACCTTTTTCGCCTCGCTATAAGTCATATGTCGTAATAATACAGGTGTAGAAAATGTCAAAGTATCCATATCTTCCGATGCAGCGGCATATACCTAAAGAAAAATTGTTTAAGATTACATTGTGTGATTGCATACTGTCATCATTCATATATATAATATTTACCTTTCCTGCTTTAGCTAAAGCTGCACATTGAGCCTCGGCTTCACATGGAGCCTATAAGGTTTAATTACTTTAATCACTGATATCAGACAGAGATTACTATAATGAAACGTAATAAACGTCTAAAATTAAATCACCTCCACATAAGGAATGCCCATTAAATTCAGAAGCTTTTTACATTCATCGTTATGTTCTTTTGTAACTCTAACAGTTTGACGACTGTATTTATCAACATTTGTTGCATCACCTAAGTATAGTAAAGAATTAAAAACATTACAAAAAAAAAAAAATTATAAAATTATAAAGCTCAAGATAAAAAAATTTAAACAATGATGCTAAACCATTTTCATGCGCTTCTTCAAGTTTTTTATTCGCTTCTTTTTTTCGCTCCATACGTTTAGCAAGCTATATTTAATGCAAAAAGCGTAAAATTACAAACTAAACCTATTTAACAAGAGAAATAAATTTATATACATAGATACTTACTTCTCCAGACTTTAGAGTTGGTGGTTTACCATCAAAAACATAACATGGCTTTATGCCGCTTTCAACCATGCGAATAGTTCGATAAAATATGCCCATTAAATGACTAAAATTATAGAGAAACCATTATTCCAAAGCAAGCTTACACGTTACTATATTCAAATATAAATATTAAAAGTACTTTATTTCTACCTTGTTGTATCTCCTGAATCGGTTGTTAACTGTTGTCCATCTTGCCTTACTGCAATCAAGAATTGATATAGAGACATAGAAGCGTCGATTGCTATCTTGCGTCCAAAATAATTCTTGATCTCGTTTGATTTGACGGCATTTGGGCAATGATCACCAATTACTTTAGTTAAACTTTGAATACCCATAACGTGTTTCTTTACAATGTATAAAATTTAGAAACAAAAATGTAACCCTTAAACATTAACGTTAAAGACGCGTATTTAATTTAGTTTCACGAACTAAATTGTGAATATTCCGCGGAAATTCAGAACGCGTGACTACTAGGGTTTAGGGCACGGGGGCATGAGGCATGCCCCTATGGGCATGCCCATATATTTTTGTGTAACATTATTTAGATATATATCACATGATTAGAAATGTGTGATAGGTTGATCGACAAATTTGTTCTAATTCAAAATTTTGCTTATGAAATTTGCCATAACCTGTCACACATTTCAGTCTCGCCAACTAAAGAATTGCGTAAAAGCTAACATACATATATGAATTTTTAATAAATCAAAATTTATACGTATATTTATTTGTTCGTAACTTGTATAAAAATTTTGTAAAACATTAATTAATATGTTTTTTTTTTTTTTTTAACTTTATATCTTTAAAATATGTTGAGTGCTACGGAATCTAAATTACTCCTCTTAATAAATAATTACTTTGGCAATTAACCTGTTAAATAAATTTTTCTTAGTGGCAAAATTAATTTCATAGTTGCAAAAATTATTAGCGAAGTTAATTGAATTCCTTATATCTAAATAATAGTTATTTATTTGTAATTTGTCCTGCTCATGCCCTTGCTTACGTTTAAGAACCGTAGTAACTACGTACATAAATATTAG